GCCCCCCCCCCCCGCTTTCTTCATCCCCCCCCTCCTCCTCCTCCTCCTCCTCCTCCTCCCTGCCGGCCGCGCTCTCCTCCACTCGCTGCGACACCAGCACCTGCCAGGGGGCACAGGGGCGGTGCCCGCTCAGGGTGGGGGTCTCCCCTCGCCCCCCAGCCCCCCTCCAGGGGGCGGGACCCCCACTCACCCCGAGCTGCGCCCGCAGCAGGAGCTGCGCGCCCCCCGCCAGGGGCAGCCAGCCGTCCAGGGCCAGCCCCTCCCGCTCCAGCAGCCGTGCCAGGGGCAGGCTCAGCGTGCCCAGGCTGTGCCCGCCTTCCTCCTTCACCTGCGGGCACAGCCAGACCCCCGTCAGACCCACCACGGGACCCCAGACCCAAATCCCCCAGCCGTCCAGGGCCAGCCCCTCCTGTTCCAACACCTGTGCCAGGGGCAGGCTCGGCGTGCCCAGGCTGTGCCCAGGCTGTGCCCAGGCTGTGCCCGCCTTCCTCCTTCACCTGCGGGCACAGCCAGACCCCGTCAGACCCCCGGGACCCCAGACCCAAATCCCCCAGCCGTCCAGGGCCAGCCCCTCCCGCTCCAGCAGCCGTGCCAGGGGCAGGCTCGGCGTGCCCAGGCTGTGCCCAGGCTGTGCCCGCCTTCCTCCTTCACCTGCGGGCACAGCCAGACCCCCGTGAGCCCCCCGGGACCCCAGACCCAAATCCCCCCCCGCCGGGGCACCTGCAGCTCCAGCGTCTCCTCGTGCGGCCGCTGGATGAGGAAGGAGAAGCCTTCATCCCACATGGGCTCCGTGGAGGGGGCGCAGGTCTGGGGGCGTGGGGAGGGGCGGCAGGGCGTCAGAGACCCCCCGGACCCCCCAGAAATCCCCCGGAGCCCCCTCCCCACCGGGGCTCACCTTGGTTTTGAAGGAGACGTCGCGCACGGCCAGGCTGGCGAAGGCCGCGGGGGGCTTGGAGCCCTTGCGGAGCTGGGGACATTGGGGACAATTGGGGACATTTGGGATATTTTGGGATATTGGGGGACATTTGGGGACACCCGGGGGCAGCCGGGGGCGCTCGGGGGGCTCCCCTCACCGGCAGCTCGGCGGCTCGGTCCAGGAAGACGCGGAGCAGAGCGGCGGAGAGCGCCGGGCCGTGCTGGGGCTGCAGGAGGCGGTTGGTGTGCAGCACCTGCGGGGCGGGCGGGGGTCGCACCAAGGTGGGGAGGGGTCGCACCGGGCTGGGGAGGGGTCGCACCGGGCGGGGAGGGGTCGCACCGGGCGGGGANCCCCCAGATCCCCCCGAGACCCCCAAAGCCCCCGTCCCACCTGCCCAGGAAGTCGTCCTTGTCGATGTCCTTGTCGAAGAGCTCGAACTCCACGTCCTGCCCTGGGACGTCGTCCACGATCACCTGGGGGAGAAAAATCCGAATTATTGTTCAAGGTTCTTATCGTGCCTCAGTTTCCCCAGCACCATGCCTCGGTTTCCCGTCCCAGGACCACCCCCGTGCCTCAGTTTCCCCTGACCCTCAGTCCCCCCCCCCGCAGTGCCTCAGTTTCCCTCCCCCGGTGCCATGCCTCAGTTTCCTGTGCCTCAGTTTCCCCGGTGCCTCAGTTTCCCTGTGCCGTGCCTCAGTTTCCCCCAGTCCCCGGTGCCGTGCCTCAGTTTCCTGTGCCTCAGTTTCCCTGCCGTGCCTCAGTTTCCCTGCCGTGCCTCAGTTCTCCTCCGGTGCCGTGCCTCAGTTTCCCCTCTCCCGTGCCTCAGTTTCCCTGGTGCCGTGCCTCAGTTTCCCGTGCCTCAGTTTCCCTGGTGCCGTGCCTCAGTTTCCCGTGCCTCAGTTTCCCTGGTGCCGTGCCTCAGTTTCCCGTGCCTCAGTTTCCCTGGTGCCGTGCCTCAGTTTCCCGTGCCTCAGTTTCCCTGGTGCCGTGCCTCAGTTTCCCGTGCCTCAGTTTCCCTGGTGCCGTGCCTCAGTTTCCCGTGCCTCAGTTTCCCTGGTGCCGTGCCTCAGTTTCCCGTGCCTCAGGTGCCTCAGTTTCCCTGTGCCTCAGTTTCCCTGTGCCTCAGTTTCCCCGGGGCCGTGCCTCAGTTTCCCTGTGCCTCAATTTCCCCTCTCTGTGCCTCAGTTTCCCCCAGTCCCCGGTGCTGGGATATTGGGGGGACATTGAGGGTACAGTGGGGGGACACTGGAGGGACATTGGAGGGGACATTGAGGGGACACTGAGAGGACAATGGGGGGATATTGGGGGGCAATGAGGGGACATTGGGGGGTTATTGAGGGGACAGTGGGGGAATACTGAGGGGACACTGGTAGGACATTGGGGGAAAATGGGGGACAATGGGGGAACATTGAGGGGATGGGGGGGATTTGGGGGATTTGAGGTTTTTGGGGTTTTGGGGAGATTTGGGGTTTTTGGGGGGATTTGAGGTTTTGGGGGCATTTGGGGTTTTTGGGGGGTTTTGCGGTTTTTGGGGTCCCACCTGGAAATCCACCTCCTGGTCGCGGGGGTCGTGCAGGAAGAAGCGGAAAGCGTCCTCCCAGACGGGGGCCGAGGTGTTGCAGACCACCTTGGGCAGGGGTGGGGGGCTCAGCTCAGACCCCAAACCCCCCAAAACCACCCAAAACCCCCCAGACCCCTCCCACCTTGCTCTCCCTGGTGACGTCCTGCACCGACACCTGCACCACGGGGTTGGGCTCCTTGCCTGGTTTCCTCTCCTGCCCAAAAACGGGGGGGTCGGGGGGGGTCCCCCACATCCGACCTCCCCCAAAGCCCCCCAGAGCCCCCAGACTCACGGGCAGCCCCTCAGCCCTGTCCAGGTACACCACGAGGATGGCAGAGGAGGGGGGGTCGGGTTTGGCCACGATTTTTTGGTTCTTTTCCAAAACCTGGGGGGTTCCAAAAATTGAGGGGGGGGGTCACCTAAAGCAGGACCCCCCCTCTCCCAGGGGAGCTGAGCCCCAAAATCCCCCCCAGCACTGACCTGGTCCAGCTTGGAGGCGTCGGAGAGCAGCGAGAGCCACTCCAGGCGCAGGTGGAGCCGGCCCTGCCCCCCCTCCTGCAGCGGGAACCACTTTGGGGGGGTGGGGAGGGGGCGTCAGCCCCAGCACCCACCTCGTCCATCACCCGAGCTTTGAGCACCTCCCCCAGGTCCAGCTTCATCCTGGGGGGGGGAATTTGGGGATTTTGGGGATTTGGGGAGGTGGGGGGGGAGTGGGGTGAAGCCCCCTCCCCGAATTTGGGGGTGCGGCCCCCCCTCACCTGCCCAGGAGATCGTCCTTGTCGGGGTCTTTGTCGAAGAGCTCCACCTCCAGCTCCTGGCCCGGCACCTCGTGCACCATGAACTGGGGGGCAGCGGCACGTGGGGGGGGCCTGTCCCCAAAACTGCCCGGGGGGGCGTGTCCCTGTCCCCAAAATCCCTCTGGGGGGGTCACAGTGTCCCTGTCCCCAAAATCCCTCTGGGGGGGTCACAGTGTCCCTGTCCCCAAAATCCCTCTGGGGGGGTCTCTGTGTCCTGCCCGGGGGGGGGCCATGTCCCTGTCCCCAAAATCCCTCTGGGGGAGCAGTGTCCCTGTCCCCAAAATCCCTCTGGGGTGCCATGTCCTTGTCCCCACAGCTCCGTGTCCCTGTCCCCAAAATCCCTCTCTGGGGGTCATGGTGTCCCTGCAGCCCTCCCTCCCTCCCTCCCTCCCTCCCTGCAGCCTTCTGTCCATCCCTCCATCCCCAGTGTCCATCCCTCTGTCCATCCCCACTGTTTGTCCCTCCATCTGTCCCTCTGTCCATCCCTCTGTGTCCGTCCCCACTGTCCATCCCTTTGTCCATCCATCCATCTCTCTGTCCCTCTGTCTACCCCCTCTGTCCATCCCTCCGTTCCACTGTCTGTCCCTCTGTCCATGCCTCCATCCCCAGCGTCCATCTCTCTGTCCATCCCCACTGTTTGTCCCTCCGTCCATCCCTCTGTGTCCATCCCCGGGGTCCAGGCTGTCCCCGATGACACGGCTGGTGGCCGCCTGTGTCCCTCTGTCCATCCCCCTGTCTGTCTGTCTGTCCATCCCCCTGTCTGTCTGTCCCGCTCACCTCGTACACCTCGTCCCATGTGGGGTCCAGGCTGTCCCCGATGACGCGGCTGGTGGCCGCCTGTGTCCCCACCCTGAGCAGCGCGTACGGGTCCGAGCGGCCCTGGACGAGCCCGCCCAGGAAGCGATCCTTGGAGCGCAGCGCCCGCGCGGCCACCAGCGTCACCCGCACCACGCCCTGGGGACACCGAGGGGACACCGAGGGGACACCGGGGGGCGTGTCCCTGTCCCCAAAACTGCCCGGGGGGCGTGTCCCTGTCCCCAAAACTGCCCGGGGGGCGTGTCCCTGTCCCCAAAACTGCCCGGGGGGCGTGTCCCTGTCCCCAAAACTGCCCGGGGGCGTGTGCCTGCCCCCAAAACTGCCCGGGCGGGCGTGTCCCTGTCCCCAAAATCCCTCTGGGGGGATCACAGTGTCCCTGTCCCCAAAACTGCCCGGGGGGGCGTGTCCCTGCCCCCAAAATCCCTCTGGGGGGGTCACAGTGTCCCTGTCCCCAAAACCCCCCAGGGGGTCACGGTGTCCCTGTCCCCACAGCCCCGTGTCCCTGTCCCCAAAATCCCTCTCTGGGGGTCATGGTGTCCCTCCCTCCCTCCCTCCCTGCAGCCTTCTGTCCATCCCTCCATCCCCAGTGTCCATCCCTCTGTCCATCCCCCTGTCTGTCTGTCTGTCCGTCCCCCTGTCTGTCTGTCTGTCCGTCCCCCTGTCTGTCTGTCCCGCTCACCTCGTACACCTCGTCCCAGGCGGGGTCCAGGCTGTCCCCGATGACACGGCTGGTGGCCGCCTGTGTCCCTCTGTCCATCCCCCTGTCTGTCTGTCTGTCCATCCCCCTGTCTGTCTGTCCCGCTCACCTCGTACACCTCGTCCCATGTGGGGTCCAGGCTGTCCCCGATGACGCGGCTGGTGGCCGCCTGTGTCCGTCCCCCTGTCCATCCCTGTGTCCATCCCTGTGTCCATCCCTCTGTCCCTGTGTCCCTCTGTCTGTCCATCCCCCTGTCTGTCCGTCCCCCTGTCCCTCTGTCTGTCCCCCTGTCCCGCTCACCTCGTACACCTCGTCCCAAACCGGGTCCAGGCTGTCCCCGATGACGCGGCTGGTGGCCGCCTGTGTCCCCACCCTGAGCAGCGCGTACGGGTCCGAGCGGCCCTGGACGAGCCCGCCCAGGAAGCGATCCTTGGAGCGCAGCGCCCGCGCGGCCACCAGCGTCACCCGCACCACGCCCTGGGGACACCGAGGGGACACCGAGGGGACACAGGGGTCAGAGAGGGTCACTGTGAGGGGACACGGCCACCAGCGTCACCCGCACCACGCCCTGGGGACACCGAGGGGACACCGAGGGGACACTGGGGTCACTGCAGGGGGACACAGCCCCAGCGTCACCCGCACCACGCCCTGGGGACATGGGGACACCGAGGGGACACTGGGGTCAGTGAGGGGGGGACACGGCCACCAGCGTCACCCGCACCACACCCTGGGGACATGGGGGACACCGAGGGGACACAGGGGTCACCAGGGATCACCATGAGGGGACACGGCCGCCAGCGTCACCCGCACCACGCCCTGGGGACATCGGGACACCGAGGGGACACGGGGGTCACTGCAGGGGGACACGGCCCCAGCGTCACCCGCACCACGCCCTGGGGACACCGAGGGGACAGCAGGGTCACCAGGGGTCACCATGAGGGGACACAGCCCAGGGAGGGGTCACCATGAGGGGACACAGCCCCAGCGTCACCCGCACCACGCCCTGGGGACACCGGGGGGACACCGAGGGGACAGCGGGGTCACTGCAGGGGGTCACTGCAGGGGGACACGAGCCCTGGGACAGGCAGTGACAGCGAGAAACGGAGGAGGAAGATGATGGGGGAAGGGAAAAGGAGGGGAAAAAGAGGGAAAAGGGAAAAGGAAGGGGAAAAAAGGGGAAAAAAGGAGAGGAAAAGGGGGGGAAGAGAGAAAAGGAAGGGGAAACTGGGGAAAATGAGGGGAAAAAATGAGGGAAAGTGGTGGAAAAAATGAGGAGGAAAAGGGGAAAATGAGAAGGAAAAAGGAGAAAGGAAGGGAAAAAAGGAAAAAAAGGGAAAATGAGAGAAAAAATGAGAGGAAAAGGGAGAAAAGGAAGGGGAAAGATGGGGAAAATGAGGGAAAAGGGAAAAGGAAGGGGAAAAAAGAAAAAATGGAAAAAGAAGGGGAAAAAGGAGAGGAAAAGGGAGAAAAGGAAGGGGAAAGATGGGGAAGATGAGGGGAAAAATTCAGGGGAAGTGTGAAAGGGGAAAATGAGGAGGAAAAAGAGGAAAGGAGGGGAAAATGGTGAGGTCTGAAAGGGAAAGTTGGGGAAATGGGGGGCGTCCGAAGGGGAAAATGGGGGGGGTCCAAGGGGAAAAAGAGGGGTCAGGACCCCCCCCAGCCCCCTCACCCTGGGGAGGGGGCAGCGCAGCTGAGCGGCCTCGGGCAGGTCGGGCACCAGCGGCACCAGGAGCCGGTTGGGCAGCACCAGGTAGGAGGAGAGGCTGTCCATGATCATCGAGTCCGACAGGGAGCTGGGGGGGTGTGTCCCCCTGTCCCTCTGTCCATCCCCCTGTCTGTCTGTCTGTCCATCCCCCTGTCTGTCTGTCCCGCTCACCTCGTACACCTCGTCCCAAACCGGGTCCAGGCTGTCCCCGATGACGCGGCTGGTGGCCGCCTGTGTACCTCTGTCCATCCCCCTGTCTGTCTGTCTGTCCATCCCCCTGTCTGTCTGTCCCGCTCACCTCGTACACCTCGTCCCAAACCGGGTCCAGGCTGTCCCCGATGACGCGGCTGGTGGCCGCCTGTGTCCCCACCCTGAGCAGCGCGTACGGGTCCGAGCGGCCCTGGACGAGCCCGCCCAGGAAGCGATCCTTGGAGCGCAGCGCCCGCGCGGCCACCAGCGTCACCCGCACCACGCCCTGGGGACATGGGGACACCGAGGGGACACTGGGGTCAGTGAGGGGGGGACACGGCCACCAGCGTCACCCGCACCACGCCCTGGGGACACCGAGGGGACAGCAGGGTCACCAGGGGTCACCATGAGGGGACACAGCCCAGGGAGGGGTCACCATGAGGGGACACAGCCCCAGCGTCACCCGCACCACGCCCTGGGGACACCGGGGACACCGAGGGGACAGTGGGGTCACCAGGGGTCACTGCAGGGGGACACGAGCCCTGGGACAGGCAGTGACAGCGAGAAACGGAGGAGGAAGATGATGGGGGAAGGGAAAAGGAGGGGAAAAAGAGGGAAAAGGGAAAAGGAAGGGGAAAAAAGGGGAAAAAAGGAGAGGAAAAGGGGGGGAAGAGAGAAAAGGAAGGGGAAACTGGGGAAAATGAGGGGAAAAAATGAGGGAAAGTGGTGGAAAAAATGAGGAGGAAAAGGGGAAAATGAGAAGGAAAAAGGAGAAAGGAAGGGAAAAAAGGAAAAAAAGGGAAAATGAGAGAAAAAATGAGAGGAAAAGGGAGAAAAGGAAGGGGAAAGATGGGGAAAATGAGGGAAAAGGGAAAAGGAAGGGGAAAAAAGAAAAAATGGAAAAAGAAGGGGAAAAAGGAGAGGAAAAGGGAGAAAAGGAAGGGGAAAGATGGGGAAGATGAGGGGAAAAATTCAGGGGAAGTGTGAAAGGGGAAAATGAGGAGGGACACAGCCCCAGCGTCACCCGCACCACGCCCTGGGGACACCGGGGACACCGAGGGGACAGTGGGGTCACCAGGGGTCACTGCAGGGGGACACGAGCCCTGGGACAGGCAGTGACAGCGAGAAACGGAGGAGGAAGATGATGGGGGAAGGGAAAAGGAGGGGAAAAAGAGGGAAAAGGGAAAAGGAAGGGGAAAAAAGGGGAAAAAAGGAGAGGAAAAGGGGGGGAAGAGAGAAAAGGAAGGGGAAACTGGGGAAAATGAGGGGAAAAATGAGGGAAAGTGGTGGAAAAAATGAGGAGGAAAAGGGGAAAATGAGAAGGAAAAAGGGGAAAGGAGGGGAAAAAGAGGGAAAAGGGAAAAGGAAGGGAAAAAAAGGGAAAAAAGGGAAAATGAGAGAAAAAAGGAGAGGAAAAGAGAGAAAATGAAGGGGAAAGATGGGGAAAATGAGGGAAAAGGGAAAAGGAAGAGGAAAAAAGAAAAAATGGAAAAAGAAGGGGAAAAAGGAGAGGAAAAGGGAGAAAAGGAAGGGGAAAGATGGGGAAGATGAGGGGAAAAATTCAGGGGAAGTGTGAAAGGGGAAAATGAGGAGGAAAAAGAGGAAAGGAGGGGAAAATGGTGAGGTCTGAAAGGGAAAGTTGGGGAAATGGGGGGCGTCCGAAGGGGAAAATGGGGGGGGTCCAAGGGGAAAAAGAGGGGTCAGGACCCCCCCCAGCCCCCTCACCCTGGGGAGGGGGCAGCGCAGCTGAGCGGCCTCGGGCAGGTCGGGCACCAGCGGCACCAGGAGCCGGTTGGGCAGCACCAGGTAGGAGGAGAGGCTGTCCATGATCATCGAGTCCGACAGGGAGCTGGGATTGGGGTCCCCCCGGGGGGGGGGTCTTCTCCCTTTCTCTTTTTTTGGGGAGGGGGCACGGACTCACCGGGCGGCGGATGAAGAACATGGTGAGCGCCCCCACGATGGGCACGTCCCCCAGCAGGGGCTCCAGGATGATCCTGAGCATCCCGTGGAGCTGTGGGGGGGTCCAAACACGCTGGGACCCCTCCCCAAAACCACCCCCAGCCCCCCAAAACCCACACGGACACGCTCTGCTGGAGCAGCTTGTCCAGGAACTGCCCCAGGAACGGCCACGCCTGCGCCAGCACCTGGGACAGACAGACACACGGACACCGGGATGGACACACGGACACACACAGACACACACGGACACACACACACAGACACAGACACACAGACAGACAGACAGACAGACAGACACACGGACACGCTCTGCTGGAGCAGCTTGTCCAGGAACTGCCCCAGGAACGGCCACGCCTGCGCCAGCACCTGGGACAGACACACGGACACCGGGATGGACACACGGACACACAGACATGGACAGATGGACATGGGGCATGGAGGGACGGACACGGGGGACAGACAGATGGACACGGGGCATGGGCATGGACAGATGGACATGGGAGGACATGGGGGGATGGAGAGGTGGAACGGAGGGAGGGACAGAGGAGGGAGGGAGGGACACAGGGAGAGAGAGGGAGGGAGGGATGGAAAGAGGCCAAGAGGGAGGGAAGGATGCGGGGAAGGAGGGATGAAGGGAGGGAGGAGGGAGGGATGGAGGCATGGAAGAGGGAGGGACAGAAGGATGCAGGAGGGAGGGACGGAGGGAGGGAGAGGGACGGAGGGATGGAAGGATGCCGGAGGGAGGGATGCGGGAGGGACCCCGGCGGCCCCGGGGCGATGCGGGCCGGACACACGGACGCCCCCCGGACACACGGACGCCCCCTCACCTTGTTGAGCCACTCCGCCCGCTCCACATCCGGGAAGCTGACCTGGGGACGGGGGGGGGGGCGCTGAGCCGGGGCCGCGGCCCCTCCCGTGCCTCAGTTTCCCCAACCGCCCCGCCACCCCCGGGGGTCCCCAAACGGGGGGTCCCGGAGGGGGGAACTCCCGGGAAAGGGGGGTCCGGACCCCTCCCGGACCGCGGGGAGGGCCGGGCAGGAAACGGCCCCCCCGGGCCCGGTGAGTCACGGCACCGCCGGAAGGCCCGGGAGGTACCGGGGCTGTCCGGTGCCCGCGGGGAACGGAGCGCGGGGACCCCGCCCGGGCGGTACCGGGGGGGTCCCGGGGCGACCCCGCCCCACCGGGAAAGCCAAGGAACGGCCGGAGAGCAGCACCGGCACCCGGGGATGCCCGGGGGGGCTCCGGGGGTCCCGAGCGGTGCAGAGAGAACGGAGCCGGACCGGGGGTCCCGGGGGTCCCCCCCGCCGGGGCTGGCTGCGGTCGTGGGGGGTCCCGGGGGTCCCGGCAGCGAAGCGCGGGGCTGGGGGGGGTCCCCAGGTGTGACAAGCGGGACCCGGAGCGCAGCAAAGAACCGGGAACCCCCCGGGGCTGCGGGGAGCTCAAGCGGTGCCGGTAGCGCGTCAGAACCGGGGGTCCCGCCGGGGGTCCCACCGGGGGCAGAGGCGGTGCCCGGTGCGGGGGTCCCGAGCCCGGTACGGGGGTCCCGAGCCCGGTGCGGGGTCCCGAGCCCGGTGCGGGGGTGCCATGCCCGGTGCGGGGTACCGTGCGCAGTGTGGGATCCCGAGCCCGGTGCAGGATCCCGTGCCCGGTGCAGGATCCCGTGCCCGGTACGGGGGTGCCATGCCCGGTGCGGAGTCCCGAACCCGGTGCGGGGTCCCGTGCCCGGTGCAGGATCCCGTGCCCGGTGCGGGGTCCCGTGCCCGGTACGGGGGTCCCGCCGGGGATCCCCGCGGGCGATAACGGCGCTGCGGGGCCTTACCCAGGCCGGCAGCTCCCCTCGGGCCGCGCCCATCCCGGCGGCGGCGGCGCGCACGGCCGCTTCTTCTTCTCGGTGCAGCCGCTCGGCCGCGCGCATCCCGCGCTCCCGGGCGCGCCGCCGCCGCCG